GAATGAAAAAACAAAACAAAACATACATTCTATCTGTTCTTTTAATCAGCAAACACAGACTGTAGAAACTTTTACCAGCCTGCACTATCCAACAGAACTTTCTGCAGTGGTAGAAATGTCCTATATCTGCCCTGTCCAACACAGTAGTTACCACAGTAGCTGCATGTAGCTACTGAGTACTTGAAATGTGGCTAGTGCAACTGAGGAACTGAATCTTTAACTTAGCAAAGCTCTAGACCCTTCCATTCTAACGCAGTTTCTTCTCTAAACTCTATTCTTGACCCCTACCTTTGTCTCAGGAATCCCAGAACAAGTAAAGCCAGACTCTTGCTTTTAGGTCTTCTCAGTCTATTTATAGTTCAACTTTTATGAAAACCGTAACATCCCAACTTTAATACTAGAACATCAAGAGAAAAATAATTCTGCTGTCAGGTACCCAGAGTTACAAGGCACCCAACTGAAATAAGGACTATTTAAATTGGTCTCAAACAGCTTAACCTTGTTTGAAAAGAATCCAAAGCAACGCTGCTCCTGAGCACTGATAACTGCACTCACTATACCCTGCCATGTCCCTCATCACTCTTCCCCATTTTATTTCCAAATTAGAGAATGTGGACAATCTGATGGGCTACCTAAGTAAAAGTATTGAGATAAATACAAACTCTAGTGCCCACAACTGAGATGGCCATCTGTTTTTTAAAATAAATTTCAAAATTTGTATAAATATAAATAGTAAGAGTTAAAAAAATGATGAACTGAACAAGATATAATAAGCAATGATTAGCTGGGATGAGTAAAACATAACTACTACGACGTGACTAGTTGTGCAGAAGAGCTCAATGTTGTTTACATGGCTTACACTAAAACAATAAAGTCAGAAAGTGCATAGTCTTCAGTTCTAGAAAGCACAAAACTGTGAAAGCTGTCCCTTACAAAACAGCAAGGACGCCCAAGGAGTGCTCTTGTACATCCAGAGCCCCAAGCACAGTGTCCAGATGGGATAAGTTCTTTGCAAGGAGTTCCCCACTCTTGTTGATCAGTTCACAAAGCTGAGTCATCTGCCCTGGAAAACAGGAATAACACTATGTCATTCGGTTATAGTATTAACCACACTAAAGGGAGTATAACCAGATTTCATACCTCAGAGCAAGAAATACCTAAAGATGATTTCTTGTATCTCCATTTCAGATGAGGACCAAGAAGGGCCAGAGAAGTGAAATGACCCTGTCCCTGGTCTCAGAACTAGACCTCCCACATCCCTCTGGCCCCTGAAAATTTCTCTTTTTCTTCCATTCCCTTTTCTGGTCCCCCAAGCCAGAAATGTACACATACTATCACCACCCCTTTCAGCTCCTCTGTATCCAAAATGTCACCAAAGATTATTTCATTTTACTTCCTGTCTCTTAGCTCCATTCCTTTCACTCTCCCCTGCCTTAATTCATATCCTTATGACTTCTTATCTAAACTACATCATAAATCTTCTCAATGTCCACTCTTTCCTCCAACCCATATTCCACACTGGTACCTGTGTGATCTTTCTAAAATGAAAAATTCAATCAAATTATTCCACTGGCTTTAAGAAGTCCAAATGCCTCAGCCCAGTAATGGCCCCTGTGCCTCCCCAGCCTCACGTCCTGCGACTTCCCCTCACGTACCTTGTCTTTGGTCATGCCAAGCTCAGATTCAGTCAGCATTCTGTACTCTCTCACCTTGCTGCACCCACGCCTGTTGCTCTCCACGTTGGCTGCTCCCCTTCCCTCTTCTCTCCCACATCCTCCCCTACCTGACTCATCCCTGCTCTTCACTGGATCCTCACCTCCCTCCCTCCCCATGGCTAACTTGGCTGGGTAGCTGCTGCCCTCTCTGCGTCCTCTTTCCATCACCTGGGGTGTGGTGATTAGGTAATTCAACATAAACTCAGGGGAGAGTCCCTTTCTCCATCTTCACAATGCAGTGCTTACGCAGTGATTCAATAAACAAGCAGCTTGTTGACTCTCCAAGATCCATTTTTCTTCCCCTTATACCACGATGTTATAACAATGAAAGTACAGAATCTAATTAGGCCTGAACTGGTACTTTGAAGTAGACTTGCCAATTTTAATAGGTTATTCTAATAACAGACACACTACGGTCACACTCTGTACTCTCAAATCCCACTAGCTGTCTTTCTGGTCGGGGTAGGGGGAAATCAACCTCTTAAACTTCCTCCTTCAATAGTCCTCTTACATTTTGAATTTCAAGCTAACCATACCAGCTATTTTTATTTGGTGGCTGGCTGATTTTTTTTTCCCTATTAAAAAAAAACATTTAAGTAATATAATGCTTAAAATCCAAGCGACTGTAACTAGGAACTTTGATAATTTTACTTCTGGGGCTTCTACACTATAAAACTCTTAAATTTGATCTTTTACCAAAAATAAAGGAAACACCCCATTACTATCTCATGCACTACAAAACACGAATTTAAAACATCCAGGATCTATCAGGTATCATTTTTCAAGACAATAATACAAGCTGAACTGGGAAATATCGCCTCACTATCATTTTATTAAAGATCTCACTGGTAGGTACGAAATAGCATCTTCCAGTTAAATAATCAGCCCCCCCCTTTAAACCCACTGCTTTAAATACATTTATAATGATTTGAAACACGCAGAAATAAGCATTTCAGGCCATTATTTTTCCTCCCAATTAAATAATCAATGTTGAGCTGAGACTTAACAGCTGGGTCATTATGAAATCATAAGAGTCAACTATTGCAGCCCTGCCGGGCGTGGCTCAGTAGTTGAGTGTCAACCTGGGATCCAGGCAATTGGGGTTCGATTCCCGGTCAGGGCACATGCCCGGGTTGCGGGCTAGATCAATGACTCTCTCATCATTGATGTTTCTATCTCTCTCTCCCCCTCTCCTTTCCTCTCTCTAAAATCAATAAAGATATATTAAAAAAAGAAAAAAAAAAAGAGTCAACTATTGCAGGGCCAAGGGGAGAGTCAAAAGTAAGTTTAAGTGTCAGGGGCACATATGAAATGAGCCCAACTAGAGATGTGGCTGGTGAAATTCCCTCTATCCCTTTACTTAAGCTCCATGTTAAGAAATCTGAACAAGAGCAGAAGAAACAGACACTTGTAAACATTTACTATGCTGTGAATGTGAGGTACAGAAGCCAAGGGCAATAAAAGTATCACATTTACCTCTGCCCCAGAGGCTGTTCCTAAAGTGGTGTCCTGCACAGACCATGCATGCAGAGCTTTGCAATCCCTCTGGATGCTCAACAGCCCCTACATTTTGTAAATGATAAAATTGGCCCAGGAAAATTAAGTGGCTTGCACATGAAATGACTGAGACAGGATTCCAACTTAAATCTTCTAAGCACACTACATCCCAGAAAATAGAAACCAAATGTCTGTGTCATAAATGAATAAATAAGTGGTGGTTTCTTCATTCCTACACACTGAAAGTCTATGCCTGACCTGTGAACCTAATTTCTATCAAAAATAAGAGAAGACAGAAGTACTTCACTTTGCATGTCCCCATACGAGGTTCAGTGAAGCCTTACAACAGCGAGGTAGAGAGATAAATGGAGATAAGAGACTGGAGACTAAAGGTGACCTGCCCAAGGTCACGCAGCTCCTAGGAACTTTACAATTAATGGCGTTAACCATTAGTGACTGTACTTACTGCACCCCATATGACAGGCACTGTTCCGAGGGCTTTTACATGGCTCTCCCATTCAATCCTAACGACTACATGAAGTACGGACTTATTTTTATTTTACAGATGAAGAAACAGGATGGGTAAAGGGGCCTCCGCAGCCAGCAGTTAATTACTTTAATTCAGAGTCCAGGGCTCTATCAAGTGCTCAGATGAATGAACCAAACAGTATGAAAATGAAGGGCAAAGTAAGAAGGGTCACAATTCTACCCCCAGAAATGGAGTCCGACGAGCGACAGCTCCTTCGACGTTCCGCAGGACTGAAATAGGCGCCGAGGCGTCCCGAGGGCGCGCGGGCGG